GCTTCCGTAATGGAGTATGTTGGGAGTCATGAGTTGGCACAGCAGCTTCTCGTATTGCACACTCAATTATTTGAGGTGATTTTTCAGTTCCATTTTCATAACTGAATGAATTCCTAGGCAGCGACTAGCCTCTTGAGCTCGGTGGGTTTTGCACTTCGAACTACTTCCTACCTTAGATTGAGCTTAATACAAGCATCCAACGAGGACCGAGGCAGGGCTTTGGTCCTAGTGGAAGCGATATTTAGCGATGCTTAATATGGTAGTGGTCCTAGAAAGGATGGATTTTGAAGGGTCGTTTAAAACGCCTAGTGCTACCACGAGCCGCCACTTATGGGTGTACTGAACAGTCTCCAGAGACAGCGCGGGAAAGCAATAAGGGTGTGGTGCAATAGGAACGAAATTGTCGCGTCGCGGCAGGAGACGTCGCGCGCGAAGGAATGTGTAGCAGAATGCAGCAGCAAGTAGGAAATACAGGAACAAACGAATTAACATAAGGATTATGCCAGAAGTAATAATCGCGTAGCGATTGAGCTGTATGAAGAACGCTCAGGCTGTTATAACGTGGCAAGTGGTCCGCGATAGCCGCGTGCGGCGGATCGATTACACAGAACTGTTCCTAGTGCCCGTCTCCCACGCAATAGAAGTAAAGATCCCTCCTACGCAACTCGAACAGCGCTCAGAGTATAAAGCTATGGAAAGCTATGTTCTAAAATTTCTGCATTTTTTCGATTTTTAGCCCTTGTTATGCTTCTCAGCACCGATCAGCCAAGAATCTCATAGCATGCGCACATTCAGGCAACAGACGAGATCGAATTAGTGACACAAGTGATTGGAAGGGATCAGTTTCCTGGACGAGTGCCCTCGAATTTGGATCTTCTTATGCGCAGGTAAAAGCTGTTCCAGTGCCTATCCAAGGCCAAAAACATCCCCCGTTCCTTCTTTTCAGGTTCAACGAAGTTCAGTACTGGGCCACTACGGAAGTATTGCTGGCGTTGCCGCAAAAACGAGTCACAACACTTCGGAAGTTTATCAAAATTGCTATGTAGTAAGTAATCCTGTTTCATCAACCAAAGTCCCGAACTTGCAGTCTCATCCGACCCTTGGATTTCAGCGCCAAAGAGAATCGGGATCTGATGACATTATTCGCTATCACTCTGGGTCTCAGCAATATCGCTGTCAGCCGTCTTTCTCATGTGTGGGAAGTGAGTTTCCATTCTTAATGGGATGCAAAAGATGAATTTTCCCTTCACTTTACTTGCAACACTATAAAGGGTTTTTGAATAAACTGGTAATTACTCATATTAGTTATTTATAATCTATGTTTATTTGCTTATTTACTGATTTTATTGAATTTTTTCGATTTTTTTACTTTCAGCGTCTTCCAACGAAACTCCGTCGGCAATTCGCTGAATTCGAATCCCTTCTAGATCCTTCACGGAATCATCGTCCCTATCGTGCTCTCGTTGCAAAGGTACTCAATTTACAGCATTACTGTTCTCTGTTATTTCCATTCACCATGAAGTATGTACAAGGTCCGTCGCAACTCCACCTTCGCAACACCATCCTATTTCTTTTGTTGTCTGCCCAAGAACCCGCGGAGATCGATAGGCATATTAAGGAATTTTACAAGAAGGTTGCTCCTGCCAGATGCACAATTTACAAATGGCACTCGAAGTTCACTTCGGGCGACCATTCCATCGAAGATGGGGATCGTCCGGGCCGCTAAATGGAGTTGGATTTGGACATGCTGCGTAGCCAGGTGGTAGCCGATCCGTATCAAACTACACGTAAACTGGCAGTCACCCTTGGAGAGTCAGTCCACAGTTATTCGTATTGAAGTCAATCGGCAATCGGCAAAGCTCGATCGATGGGTGTCTCTACTTCGAAGCAGTATGACATGGATTTTCGCGCCGACATGGCACTTTCTC